ATTTATTTTTCATCCGTATCCCTACCATCTCTACCATCTTATTTAACATTGGATGTTGAGACGTTGGAGAATTACTTCAAGGAATGGATTATTCAATATGATAAACTTGGGTTGGTTAAGTGGAAAGCTGATGAGAACATGTTGAAAATGATATATAATCTTCGGAAACCATTTCTGTCATTACTTGTGGTACTTACGATGGATTACGAACAGAAGAATGGAGTTCCACCTACATCAAAAATTCTACGTGGTCTTGTCGCAGAGAAGATGATGACTATTCTTTGTATTGATGGAAGGCAGGAGCGAAGATACTGGACTGGAATGTGGAGATTGATCGAATTACTTCACATAACTCGATGTCGGGTGGATTTTCTTGTGAAGGCTTGAATTAATGCCACATTTTTAATGACGACGTCTATTAGTGATTATGATAAATTTCTTAAAGTTCTTTTGGATGATGAGAAGGCTTCTCATAAAAATCCTTTATTCGATGAGTTATTGATGCAAAAGGTTAAGGATATTATTCGTGTGTGATGTTAAGGGTGTTATTTGTGAATTATATTTCACTTTTTAATGATTTTATTTATTGTATATCATATATTTGATAAATATCACGTGTGGGCATTTCTGCCACACGTGATGGTTCTTAATAAATTTTAGATATACAAAATTGCGATAGGTTAATTTTTTTCCACAATCGAGATTTATTGTATATATATTTGGTTAATAAAATTTTATCTGTTTTTCCGCAATCGAGATTTATTGTATATATATTTGGTTAATAAATTTTATTTGGTTTTTCCGATGATAGTATAAATAAATTGAGAGAAGGTGGAGAAATTTTCAGTTAAAAATGAAAACGAAAACGAGAAAAAATGTCACTTGTGCTTGTAATTATTGTATTCAGAAGAGAATTCGTTGCGATGATGGAGATCCTTGTTCAGTTTGTAAATTGAAAGGTATTAATTGTGTGAGAAGGAAATTATTAAAAAAACGTGGACCGAAGTCTGGACCTAGACGCAAAATGAATATGAAAAATGAATCGAGAGGGTGTGATATAATGAAAATTGAGTCCCTGTATGTAATTTATTTATGTAATTTGATTTGATGTATTTATTTTAATAAGATTTTTATTTATTTATAGGTTAAATTGATAAAATATCATTCCGTATCAATTTTGACATGATTTTATAAATATATTGAAGAATAATTAAGATAAATGATGTTATAGAAAATTATTTTTTAAAAATTGATTGTATTAGGTGAATATATCTAAATATTCATCGGAAAATCTGATATATGCATAATAGCTAAAATTTTCCAAGTAATTTGATTTTAAAACGCATTCAGGGGGTGGATTGAATTCTATGTTATTCTCTTCACAGCGAATGAGAATGAATAATAAAATGATATTATAATTACCTAATTTTAATCTAATATACATTCTATTGAGGTCTCTTTGAATATATAAGTAGAGAAATCTATATTTTTCATCAATTTCTCGAGAATCAATGTTGATAATTTTATCCATCAATTCGTTATAGATATCAGCCTTCAGAATATTGAAGTTGTAGTATTTACTCTTGTAAACATTATAATTATAATTTTCGTTATTTATCCTATAGTATTCTTTACCACTTGGAATCCAGTAAAGAGTAACATCGTATTTTATTTTCATTAATAGTTCCTTCTGTCGTTCAGCCTTTGAATTGTAAAAATCATGAATTATCTTAGAATGAAATAAGATAAATCGATCGCTGGCAATAGGTATTGGTATTTTTTCATGTTTTTCATCTAACTTCATAATATCTTCTTGAATGTATGCAGGTTTGGTCCAGATGTGATTGTGATTAGGTGAGATGATGAAATCATCTGAAGGAAGGAATTCTAAATGGAGAAGACGATCTTTTTCATAAGATCCACTTGCGAATTTAAGTATTTTTGAATAGATTATTTCATCAACTATTTTTGAAAAATTTTTGTTGACGAGTTTTAAATTTGTATAATTGAATTCGAGAGAAAGAAAATCCTCAAATAGAATTTCTAATATGATGCGATGTATGTCTTCATTCATTGTAATGATCTTTCGGTGAAATTTCAGAAATAATGTATTTATGTGTATTTATAATTTATCTAAAGGTTTCAATTCAAAATTACCAAACATGGTTAATTCTTTAATTTTAAAATTACCAAACATGGTTAATTCTTTTAATTTAAAATTACTAAACATAGTTAATATATAATCACTGTAGTTTGATTGTGTGAGAATTTTATCTCGATGGGATTACTTATTTGAAATGAAATTATATATATATATAAGTGTCTTTTGAGATTATTATTCTAAAGAAATCAAGTTGATAATGTCAGAAAGTTACAAACGAAGAAATTCTCATTCCATTGAACATGCGTTTATTGATTTGAGCGATCCAAATGATCGAGATGAGCAGATCAAAGAATCGATTGCGAAGAGAATATCAAAGATTGATATTCTAAAGATCTTTTTGAAATACTTTATCATTTTTTTATATATCTATTTTATCATTCTTATTTTTGTTCATCGTACCCCATTTATTCAATTTGTTGAGTTTAAGGTGAATATGGATTTTTCAAACACGACCGACGAGTTCAAGGATTCATTCTT